CCCCCCCCCAACAAAAATGATTGATCGGTGCCTCATTTAATATTGTAGTAATGTTTATTTTTAACTTATCAACACCTTCTCTTCATGTATACAATACAATACATTGGCAAATTTTGTGCTTATCTTGATAAAAAAAAAATAAAAGTGGGTGTACCCCCCTTTTTGGGTTTGGAAAGCTAATTGATTTATTGTTAGGGCAAATACTTTATGCCTATTCATGAAGATTGCAAGTTGTATGTCAAGCAGCTATGTGGGTTTACATATTGGTTACTATGATATCAAGCATCATATGTTATTGATTTATATATTTTTTTCATGCTGAAAGGCAGTTATGCAAAATATTTTTCCATATAATTATATAAGAGACTGTTCAAATATTATTTTCCACTTCATTGCACGTTTTCCCACTTCGTTTGTCACAATGACATAATGCAACCCTTTATTTTCATGTACGCTATTATTCTGACAGGGTAGAGATTTGGCCTGCTACCTCAAATTTAACATGGTGGAACATTGTGTAGCATCACCATCGGATATAGGTACCCCCGAAGCAATGAAAAGCAAAAAGTATCTATTCCCTGGACAGTAAAAAACTATTAGCTTATTTACATGAATTTCTATATGAAAACAATAGTTTATTTCGAAATACAGTATTGTTCAAGCTTAAATATGATATGACTTTGAACTAAGAAAACGTCAAATGAAGCCATTATAGATGAAGGATAAATGTGTTTGAACAAGTTTGAATCCGTCACATGCTTCTTTGAGCAGGAACTATCCAGGTCAGTTTTTGACGATTTAAAGAGAGATAGAAAGCCAATTAAGGATCATAATCAGCCTTAAAAAGAAGCAACATGATTAGAAATCAGTATAACAAAACTTTACTTGTCAGCAAAACGTAGAATATAATGAAAATAAGATGAATTTGACCTTACCTAACTTCACATTTGTTTTTCCGCCGCTTCGGGGTTTATAAGGAGAAGAAAGCGTAGTGGCAGGAATTTAATGTTCCCATTCTGTCCGGACATCTGTCCCGCACAGTAAAACGGACACTTCACTTTAGCAAATATTTACTGCTTATCGGGAGAAGCCAGCCGAGGGATAATCATGTTTCTATATTCCAGTCAACTCTTAGGGTTCTTGAAATTGATACTGATGGTAAAATAAAAGCTAAATTTTATGACAATTAAAGGCGAAAGATACCAAAGGGACATCCAAACTCATAAGTCAAATATAAACTGACAACGCCACGGCAAAAAAAAAAGACCAAAAGACGAACAACTGTACACAAAACACAACATAGAAAACTAAAGACTGAGCAACATGAACCCCACCAAAAACCGGGGGTGATCTCATGTGCTCAATCCAGATTTCATGATATAAGTTTTCCTCTAGTTAACTTCTAGAGTTGTAGCATACATCTTCTTCAGCATCTTGGTTGATGAGATATGATATAGCTTGTTTTCATGATGGTGATTTCACTCTAAAACAACTCTAGTATGATTAAAAGGAAAAGGACACGATGATCAAAATGATCATATTATTCACGAGCCATAATTCGTTTCACGCAATGAATAGATTGATAATTGCGATGTCCAAAGTCTCAATAATAACTAGTTATATTATAGCTATGTTTTGGTTTCCACATGCTCACTATACTAGCAATTATTTATTTTGGTTATATCCCTTGCTTTGATACTTACAAACGAATGCGATATTTGAAAAGTGTAACTAGGACAAGATGCTTACCCTGTCTCGTCCTTACTCTATTTGGAGATTATGCGATTCCAATTGTTTCATTCACTTTTTATCGGTTTTATACCTGGACTTCGAAATATTAAATTAACAACGCTATGTTTACATGTAAGACTCTGTACCGCGATGGTAATCCGAACCGCGATAGTCACGCTGATGAGCGATGGTTTGACGCTGAAATGTGTTTTTGATCACGTCGAAGTGCGATTGTGGCATTGCGTCGCTATCTTTTCGATAGCTACGCCGAACTGCGATGGTGGTTACGCTGATGTGCGATGGATTACATAAACTATCTTTTCAACGTTTTTCATGTTCACATATTGATGAAAAAGTCAATTTGTTTGTTAGAAGCAGCTTTTCATGTTTATTAAGTAAATCATCGAGACTATCACCCTATAAGACGTTTTTAAACTAGAGACAGAGAAACTGAAATGGGTCGATTTTGGCGCGCAATGTTGTGAGAGTTACATCATAAACGGTGTGACGTCAACGTGGGTCATTTGCATAGCTAGGTCAGTAGTATTATTCATTGACAATGTGGCTGCATATTGATGCATTTACTAAAATGAGTGCAAATAATCGATATAATAAGATAAAATCGTTAGTGGATTAAATATTTAATTATACAGACATCATGGAAAATCTACAGAATTCGATATTTCATAAGGAACAACCATGGAACTAAGGAAAACGCGCGTGAAATTCCCCGATGTAATGGGTAGCAACGTCCGGGGATATGGGTTAGCAACACTCAGGGGCTATGGGTTTTGTAACGACGTGCGTTAACCAATCCAAAACCCTAGAAATATACTAAGCCGGGGATAAAAGTAAATGACTGCTTTCTGGCGGTTTCACCTCGGGACTAACAGTTCACCACTCAGTAGTAATAATTCAAAGTAATTAAGCCGTTGTCACTGTGATGATAGATTTAAAAAAATATTCTTGCATTAAAAACCATAAAAAGACAACACATTCCATTAACCGTAAACTTCACAGACAAAACTGTAAATATTATTTGATAAATTAGAGACTATAACAATTTAATCACATCTCGTATAAACGTTTTCCTGTCAAAAAAGACGCTTTTCTTCGTTTTGTATTTTCATAGATTTGAATATTCAGTACGAAGCAATGTATTGTAATAAAAAGATACCTACAAAGACAGAAACAGAATATGTTATAAATAAAAACAGTGACGACATTTACAGAATCTTTATTGTATAGGAATTATAAGAAGGTCTGAAAGTGCATGTAATGCTACAGGTAATTTAATATATATCACAATAGTTTTGGATGTATACTCTTAATATAACTTATAACGTAGTCTTTTGAGTTTATTTTAGTGTTATAAAAGTATTCGAATAGGATTAGGAATATACAGTTAATTGCTCTGTTACCGTGTGTCTTTATTTCAACTTAATTATATCAAAAAATCATTATTATTAAATGATTCAATTTGTTGCTGCAGTTTTAGAAAATCTATAGTATTCACAAATTCAGCAGGGCTATGTTGTTTTGGGTTCCATATTCATTGCGTAAATATAGTAGAAAAAAAATGTAAACAATTGTCAGTCTATGTAGCTCTACTTAGCAGGCTTAGAAAATGAGAATCAATAACAATGTGCACAACCGATCGCCAAAGATGTAAGTAATATTTTTCTCAAAATACACTATATCTATGAATATCTATTGAAGTATCATTAAATCTTTTCCAAGAAACAATTTCAGATTTCCACTCCGGAGATACAAAGTGTCTTGAAGTTTTATATTTTTCTTCTCTAGTTTTCGGTCGATGAGTATCAGCGAGACGGAAGAACGTATCGTTGTTCACACACGGAGCTGTAATAAATTTACGTACTGGTGGAGTAGGGGGACGAATCGTTACTGTATATGATGGTCTGGCGGTTTTATTTCTGAAATAGAGATTTTATACATGTACAAAAAAAGTTAATAAAAATTCTTATTAGAAAATCTATTAATAAGATAAATGTTAATTCAATTTTGATTTTTTAAAAGTATTTTGATCAGAGTTTTCTTCTCTTCTTTTATAGCACAGAATAGAATTACCATCTATGAAATAACTGCATGTAATATCTATATTATAATATGTATGTGTGGATATTATCAGGCTTAAGATTGAATGCTATATCTAGTTCCAGTGCTGACCAGATAACCAACAAGCCTATGATAACATAAGTGTCAAATCCCTTTTACGTTCAAGAATGGACTGGATGGAAAACCTACCTGTATTAAGGTGTTCGCTACTCTGTTTCAAAATAGCAAGCTTTTTTTAAGGCTGTTATGAATTGGTAGTATATAAATAAAGGAACTAAATTAGCAGAAAAAATGAAGGGCCGGTGTGCTTGTTTACGAGATATAAACCACTGAAGATTTGGCGGGGAATGATTCTCTCTAGAGTTTTCTTACATTTAACATTGGCACCTTTTTTCATTCAAAAAGTATGAAAAAATAACAAGGATTTTATAAGATTTTCAAGTATGGCTTTTTAAACTATATGTCATAAAATTATGAAAAGAAAAGTAAGGGTTAGCGGGCAAAATTTTTAATGGTACTACATTGATAAAACCAGAGGATTCCGAATATCTGACGAAAATAAAAAAACAAGAGGAGCGAACATTCTTAACACAAATCTCTACACAAATAAATGAATTTCCTTGCAAATCAACTGTCGTAAAGAATGATTCACGAAATGAAATGCTAGTTTTAAGTATTTTGAGTCGAATCAGCACTCTATAAACCGGGAATGTTCTTTCGGCACTTCATCGCATAAAACAAGGATAGTAGTCATTTGATAAACTTTCTTAGTATAGCATAATTATAAAAAAAAAACCTGACACAGCAGCAACATTCAATCAAGGAATTGTATATCTAGATCTATATATAATGTCAAGTTTATAATCTGTACATGTTATCTTCAGCACATTTGAAGTATTTACAATAACTTTAATATATAAGTTGACAGATGCAGTTAAGTTCCAATTTCAAGTTGTTTTTTTTTCAAAAGTGCTTGCTAGATACTTAGATGAATTTAAAAATACTTAAGATTTCAAAACCTAAAGTTATGAGAACAATTTCACGGTTTACAACGTTTGTATTAGGTTTTGGATTTTCTAATATTTTAAGCTCTAGCAGAGGATATCAATTGTCAAAATGTGCATCTGGTGGAGTAAAATTGACATCGATAATGTTATGACATGTTCATATAGTTATAACTGTCAACAAACCTCTTAGAAACCTCTGCACTCCACTGACGTTCGAAACTTTTTCTTTTGTCGGCTGCTCTCCTCTTATCTTCGTCTGACATCCAGTAATGCGGATCTGCACTTCTACAATGTGCCCGTCTTTTATCCATTTGTTGCCTTAGCAACGAAATAGGAAATTGACGCACGGATAGTCTTTCTCCTAATTTCTCATTTCCATGTGAATGCACCCAAGCTTGTCTGACTTCAGATGTTGCTTGAAAAAGAAATGACACGTAAGTTAAATAGGGATGACTACTAAAAACTACTGTAAACCCCAACAATCACACAGAACCACATGTTTATGTTTTGGCCTTACCCTTTAAATAATTTGACATTTATAGCAGATTATAAAATTCTGTAGGAATGATAATCAAACTCTTCTAATCTATAGGCGCATGGCTATTGAGTAAACATATTGTCTGTCTTTAAGAGCATGGCTATTGAGTAAACATATTGTCTGTCTTTAAGAGCATGGCTATTGAGTAAACATATTGTCTGTCTTTAAGAGCATGGCTATTGTGTAAACATATTTGTCTGTCTTTAAGAGCTAGGCTATTGTGTAAACATATTTGTCTGTCTTTAAGAGCATGGCTATAATTGTGTAAACATATTTGTCTGTCTTTAAGAGCATGGCTATTGAGTAAACATATTGTCTGTCTTTAAGAGCATGGCTATTGTGTAAACACATTTGTCTGTCTTTAAAAGTATGGCTATTGTGTAAACATATTTGTCTGTCTTTAAGAACATGGCTATTGTGTAAACATATTTGTCTGTCTTTAAGAGCGTATTTTGACTTATAGGTATATTTTGTTTGTTCGTTTTTGCAAGTTTGTTTGTTGTTGCAATTTTTGTGTGATTTTATGTAGAAGGCGGGGTCACTCGGTTGCTCTCTTGTCGCTTTTTATTCAGAAAAGGTACTATATGTAACACAAGTGTATATTTAATTGATGTTTCCCGTTGAAACCACATCATCAGTTTTTCGACAAATCAAGGCATTAAAAATCAATCAATCAGGCAAATATTCCAAGCACCAACTAAAGTTATAAAAACGGCAAACACTGAACTTAAGAAACATTAGTCATTGTTGTTATTTGTTCATAAGTCTTGACATAAAAAACGACTGTAATAAATTTATGATTATTCCGTTAAGATTTGCCTTTTTTCACTCAAGAGCTGACATAGTCCGTACCTCTATCTGTTACTTTGCCAGATCGTTTTTTGCATCTTGCAAATTGGTCGCTTTGCCATTCAAACGACAGAAACAGTTTTGACATATATTAACCATTACGTCGATAAAGATGAGAATGAATTGTTGAAATTGAAAAATCTTCACTAAATGATATAAGACTATGTAAAACTAGTACTGTTTAAAAATCCTGGTTATTCCACAGACAATGACGCATGTTATATTATCTTATCACAAAGACGTAGAGAAAGATCTAGTTCCTTATCAGGTGTCATATGATCAGAAGATTTTTGAAAGGATTGCACTTGTTTCTACATTTTGAATATAAAATTTCAGTTCAAGAAGGATAAATAATGTAGTTAAAACTAAGCAGCTTCTTCTCTATCCATACTGAACTTATCCAACCCATGCCCTTTTATTGTCGATGTTCCTATATGTTTTATGTAAATGACTCAAAAACTTTGGATTTGAACAATCTATCGTATCATATAAAGTTTATTGTAATGAAATCGGTAAATTTTTCCCCATATATTATCTGCGATAACATTATAACTGTAAAGGTTCCGATGACGGTTTATAAAAAGTATATGTTAGTATTTTCGTCTTAGCCAATTTGCTACAGGTATTATACAAATTTGTGCTTATTATTGCTGTCGAACAGTCAGAATTTTGACGATTTTCACAAGTACTCTGAGGCAAAGTTTGAATAACTTTTAATATCCTCTTTATCTTGAATTGTATTTATTCTAGCGTCGAAGCATCTCAACTTATTACATATGTAAATAAAGCAAAAATGTTCATTTGACAACACAAGACGAAACACTTTTAAGAAACATAAGGTAACGCAACTTTTCACGTCTTTTATTTCCATGAAACAGACAACATTGAAAAATAATGAAAGGTATTTCATTTCTCTATTTAAGATGGATGCTAAATAATATACTTAAAAGATTTTAACAACTTTTTTCCAAATATACATGAAATAAAATCGTTTTACTCATACATTTAATGTTGATAACATACTGCCAATATTAATTGAAACACGACCGGAATCAAAATAAATTAACGTGCTATGCGGTATGGGTTTTCCTCATTGTTGAAGGTCGTACGGTGAGGTAAAGTTGCTAATTTCTATGTCATTTTGGTCTCCTCTGGTTGAGAGTTGTGTCAATCATACAATATTTTATCCGTTTTATAAGGTGTATCTAAAAGGCAATATAATACATACTTGCGATAAAATTTTGGTTTAGGAATTGCTTTGCTATACATTTTTGAAGAAAAAAAATACTCAAAAGGAGACTGTTTGATATGAGCCATTATTTTTAACCACTGAAATAGCAAAAATGATAAAATACTTCAATCCATTCAAACTTATGTTAGGGAACGACCATTTTTAACTTTGAGGGTGGGTTATGTTTTTTTTTCGTTCTGAAATTTGTTTTCGTACCACCCAAGCATCATTTTTTTTTTTATTAGTCAAATTAACATTAAATGAATGGCAAATACTCTCAAAGAGAAATTTCTCCCTTCTCCCTCATAGAAATATTTTTTTTTCAAAATTAGAAATCATATTTTTTTTAAACATACATAAGGCCCTCCCCTCCTCAGAGTTAAATGGTCATTTCCTTAGACATAGGATAAGACACCAGTTCAGAAATATAAATTGGGATGTCACTATGACGTCAAAAACATGTTGAAATATGAGATATCATATTGACCCTAAATGGCCATCTTAGAAATGAGTTTTCAGTAACAATGCCTCTACCCAAAAAAATACTTTACTAGCCTTGACATCTTTGTATAATATATCTTGTAGCAAAATACTTGACTCATATCCTAATATTCATATCAAGTTCTCATAATCAGAATATTCTAGCCATTTATAAGCATTTGAATTCGTTTAAGTATACAGAGGTATGACATAACGTTGACAAAACGTCACAGTACAAACAAAAGCTATATGGTATTATGAACAATGGTAAACATTCAAATGAATAGCTCTAAAAAGCAACAGGAGAAACTTGCCTTACCTCTTTTTGCTGAGTAGGATTCTGAAATTATCGGCAAATTCAATCGTGAAAATATGTTTCACAGTTGATGCGTTGTAATAGTCACACATTCACGAGAAGAGATCCATAACATTAATATTTTTTTTATAATGGCAATTGTGGTCAACTGCATAATATATATGGTATTGGCAATAAAATTGAGAATGGAAACGGGGAATGTATCATTAGACAACAACCCGACCAAAGAGCAGAAAACAGCTCTAAGCCACCAATGGGTGTTCAACACAGCGAAAAAATCCCGCACCCGGAGGCGGGTTTTAGCTGGACCCTAAACAATAATGTATACTGGTTCAACGAAAATGGACATCACACTAAACTCCGAAACATATAAATGAACCAAAATTAAAAAAAAATTACAAGACTAACAAAGGACAGAGGCTCCTGGCTTGGGACAGGCGCAAAAATGCGGCGGGGTTAAACATGTTTTCTGAGATCTCAACCCTCCCCTTTACCTCTAGCCAATGTGGAATAAACAAACACACATCAATACGCACAGTAAAATTCAGTTTAAAAGAAGTCCGGGTCTGAAGTTAGAATAGGTAACAGAAGAAACTAAGCAAAATGACAATGATCAACATAAGTTAACAAAGGACTACTAGCAGTTACTGACATGTCAGCTCCAGACCTCAATGAAACTGATTGAAAGATTATGTCTTCATCATATGAAAGTCAAGAACAATCCCTCCCGTTAGGGGTTTAGTATCATACCATCATAAAACATACGATCTAAGAACATAACCCGTATCATGCCAGCAACTGGTTTTTAGAATAAACGTGTTTATTTCCGATGAAAAGACCCTATAAGTGAATTAATATTAATTCCAAAAAATGCCATCTTTAATGACCTGACAACAGTATCGTAACTATATCACTTATGAATAAGTCTGTTTAAAGGTTTGGTTAGCTTTTGAGGTAAATGGCGACATTTTTGTAACAATAGATAATTCTCCAAATAATAGAAGATATGGCAAAAACATTTGCAAAAGATGATCCCGACTTGCGACAGGCAACTGAATTTGTTGTGTGCACGTATATAACTTTTTTTATTATCTTTTTATTGTTTTTGTGTGAAATATTTTGCACAACCCTTAATAATCCTTTTATTTTATTAAAAAGTAGAGAAAAAAAACCCAAATACGACCGCGACGACTATAACAGCTTTTCTCTAAACACACTAAAGTAGCTTATATTTATTTCATTGTATTTGGTTCAAATGTATATATACTACATGTACTTACTGTAAAGCCTGTCATATTTTAGAGGTAACTGAAATGGTTTCATTCCTTCCGGAATATGAAATCCGAATGGTGTAGATGTAGGTCTACAAGACATTCCTGAAATGTCAAAATTTTTTAACCATTGTTATATATAAGTTATCATGCATGCACGAAACTATGAATCAATTTTTTCCAGTATGAAGGCTCCGTGTGCTCACGATATTTCAAGTGGAATCAGGTACTGTTTTTACCTGTAATGACAAATAGTTCAATACCCTACTGTCTTTATATGGGCACAGGACGATTGCGCTTCTTTTTTTTTTACCTTAATCACATTAGGACTTCCGTTCAAACAATATATGGACATTTGCGCTTTTTACCTTTATAAGATTACCTATAATCTTAACCAAATTTACCAAATAAATGGATTGCAAAAACGGAAACTGTATTCCTCGTATGTTCATTCTATAGTCTAGAATGTCCGAGGAACTCTTCCATCATAGTTTCTCCGAGATTGTTTCAATTTGTGGAGACCGAAATTAAATTTTTTAACCACCTGCTGTTGATGATGACATGTATGACGATTCACATGAGGTAATCTGAAGCCATTAACAACAATCTGGCAGATATAGGTCATATAGACCACAGTGATAATGCAGAGATCAAAATAAAACTTCAGAATTTCTCAGCCACTAAATGTGTATGCAATTCATGCTATACTTATGCCAATCTTTAGGGTACTCATGTGACGAGTAATTTATATCAGCTTCTATTCTTTTGAAGCCCAATATATGAAGTGTGTTTTATGATGTATATTTTACCCGCACCAATAAGGAGAGCATGTCAAAATATGAGCCTCATTTTTGAAGAGGTCGTTTCTTAAAGCTTGGCATGTTTACAATATCAGCGCAAGCACAGGAGAACTTTTTGTTACGACCAGAGTGTAAAAAACAGAATTAAAATGAATTCGTCTTTATTTGCTATGTAATAGTTTCCCTGTCGTGTCCGCTTATATATATTGAGATACATGTACCGTGATTAAATATATACACTGAAGTCTCGTTATAACACAATATTTCACTGTTTAAGAACGAATAAATGAACCAACGGACACGCTGTTTGTTAACTCCACTACCAGTCGTTGACCACTTGGCATAGCTATAAAAATATTAGTAAAATGCTGCTGAGACTTAAGCAAACACGTGATAACAATAACACTACTTACATTTTGAACGGAACAAAGTTAACACCGTGTTTACAACCTTCCGAATATCAATTTTATTCCGAGTCTATCGAGGGAGGTCTATGGAAAGCCAGTAGCAAAAGAATATTTAATAATTAGTTTTTTTGTTTTTTTTTTTAAAGTTAAATAAATATTTTTTTGCTTTATATTTAATTACAAATGATTTTTTCGGTTGAGAAAAAATTATTCTTTTAATATTTTATTTTCCCTAAAATTATAAGACCCCCAACGCTAACATACATTTAAAATATTAATAATATTTACAGTTGATAAAAAGATAACTGCAATATGATAGGTAGTCTATTACAGTTTAAAAGAATACACATGATTGTTTTTAAGATAACATTTTGTATGGTTTATTATTGTTTGTTCCCCATTACAAAATCAAAATTACATAAAAATGTACAATTAAAACCAGGTCATTCGTCCGTAACCATTACCAATAAGTTTTAAATTGTGTAACAAATATCGTTGGAATTTATAAATTTTGTTAACATTACTAAATCTAATTAAAAAAAACAATTTTATGGTGGTAAAACAAGAACATCAAATCAAACCATATTGGAACCAGTAGCTTGATACAAATTAAAAAGACATTCTATTTATGATGAAACACGATACGGAAAGTTGAATAGAAACATATACCATTGTACCACTAGGGGTACCATATATCTTGAATTTCATACAACAAAAATGGGCTTCCAGAATGCTGTCAATCAGCTTGTATGATAATTTCACAGTCTCGATAAAATGTCTGTGGGTATACGTCAATTAGACAACAACCGAACGACTCAAAATTGAGTTGAGATCCCCGTTATCAGCATATATATTAATACTTTATGACGAAAATAGAATATTATTTGCAATATTGAAGCGCGTAACTTTTGTACGGAAGCCCATTTAGGACCTCCCAAAAATATAATTTGAATTCGATATCACGAATTAAAATCGTTAACACGAATTGTAGGATTCATTATTGCAGATTAAATTCGTTATGACGAATTTATTGAATTAGGTTATAACAGTTTTTGTAATTCGTAATAACGGATAAAATTCGTTATCACAATTTTTTGTAATTCGTGATAATGGATTAAAAACGGGATAACGAATTGTATTAAATTCGTTCTCACGAATGTGTGTAATTTGTCATCACAGTTGGGTCGTGATTACTGATTAAATTCGTTATCACAGATTTTTGTAATTTGTGATAACGGTTTAAAATCGTAATAACAAATTGTGTAATTCGTGATAACGGATTAATTTCGTGATAACTATTTCTGTGAATTCGTGATAACGAATTTAATCCGTTATAACTATTTATAAAAATCATTATTACGATTTTAATCCGTTATCACGAATTACAAAGAAATTGTGATAACTGTTTCTACGAATTCGTGATAACGAATTCAATCCGTTATAACGATTTACACAATTCGCTATTATGATTTTAATCCGTTATCACGAATTCGAATTTAATTCGTTATTACGAATTACAAAAACTTTTAGAACTTATTCCTGAAATTCGTGTTATCACGAATTTAATCTGTTATAAAGAATTCTTTAATTCGTGATTTCGAATTCAATTATATACTTTTGGGAGGTCCTAAATGGGCTTCCGCACTTTTGAGAATGCCGTTCAGAGAGGGATTTCCCACAACGTTTAAGTAGGTTAGAATGTCAACCCCATAAAAACAAAATGGTTATGTAACCATTCACTACAACATTCCGTACCTCAGACATCTCAATATCTGCTAGGAAAAATATAAATAAGGTGTGTTCACCAGAACGAAAATCATATGTTCGTGATCTGTAAGTACTCATTTCACAATAATATACCAAATACCTAATTTATAAAATTAGACCTCTAACGGACAAAAAAAAAAATAAAATGTTCCCTTGAATTTTGTAAGTAATTGGTTAAATTATCAAAGTTAAGCTTGATTTAAAATTCACGAATAATGCATAATTGCAGGTATGTAGGTGTAGGTGTACATGTAGTAATTAATAATCATTGGTGTAATCTATCATATACTATGCCGTTATTTCTAGATAGAATATGGGACCTCGGCGGTCGTGTGGTCTAAGTAATTCATCTACAGAGATATCATTAGCCTGAGGTTGTGAGCTGGAACCGCGCAAGTAGTGAGGTGTGTTTGACCCGTGTCTTAATTGCAAGAATGACCAGTTTTCCTGTACTCCAGGTACTACGACTTTCTCCACCAATAAAAGATGGCCGACATGATGAAGCCAAGGTAGCTGAAAGTGGCAGTGGCGTAGCAGTAGACGGAGAAGTGGGGATACAAACTTCTGAACTAGACAAACAAAAAAACCACAAAATACCTTTTTTTAATGTAGGGGGATTGTCCCCTTGCCCCTGGCTCCTACGCCCCTGAGTGGCGTTAAACAACAATTACAATGTATAACAACAAAAGACCAAACCATAAATACAATGTGACTGATGGTATTGTTGATAACTGTACAGGGATTGATGAACACTTCGAAGCATTATAAGTGTACCATCTTAAACCAAACTGTTGAATTAGTCAGAATACAATCGGAAATGACACATTCATAACCATAACGTCAATTGTGTAAAAGTCTACAACATCTTAGAAGCATGAGGAAAAATAATGTAATTAATAGAGCTGGTACGAAGGTAATGTCCCAGACTACCTTTTTGTAGAATTCGTCAATTTCCCTTATTAAATTTTACAAGGACAATTTTTATTTTCAATTCAATAAAAAATGAAATAGTGTGAATATGTATCAATGTTCAAGAATGTGTATAAAAAAAAGCTTACTGTTCTTGTGTTGTGTTCCTTTTACTTTTATCCACCCATAGTTTAATCTGAAATAAGAAATTATATAATAATAAGAATTATGTTGAACCAATCTATGTAGGTGCGATATATTCCCATCGAATAATTGAATAAATTTCGTAACTTATATTCCAATTTTTTTTTTAAATAATGTGGTGAATATCAAATTCACAGTTATGTTTTTCTAATGTAAATACTTAATACTATCGAACAAAAAGAAATATGTAGACCTTTTAATTGTATTGATTTCAACATGACATTTAAACCAAATGTCTTCTTTCTAAATCAATGGGTTTACAAAAATGTATGTTATAAGACGCTCCATGTCAGAAGCTGAATTTAAATATTATAAACATAGTCGAATTCCCCAAATTAATCATCTGATTGATTTCATGTATCTGTTTAAATTTCTACAAAATGTGAGTTCCACTATGAACCTTCAAGGAGAAAGCCCTATAGTTAGTGGTGTCAAAGGAGGTACAGCCAACTTCTCCTGAATTCAATTCACACAAGGTCCATTATCAACATGAATAAGTCTTTTAATTGTTGCTAAAATAAAAAAAAAGTATCATAGCTTCGGGTGTATAGTGTTCTTGGTGTTCTAACAATATAATGGCGTATTTCGAAACATACGACCAAATCATTATAATTGCCTAAAACAGCGATTTAGTAAACTGCAACCTGAAATATTTTTGAATTGTTCAATATTCACACACACACACACACATGAGTATATAATCAAGTCTCTTGGTATTCAAATTACACGTGAATTAAAGATGTTTGGTACAAATGTATATGTCATAGACAACAACCTAACTAAACCAAACGAAAGACAAGCATCCACATACTTTGGCATGCACTTTATTTAGATTGAAAATGAATTCCATTGGTGGTTACCCAAGGTCTATCATCGGCGACAAATTTCTAAAATATGGGAAAAAGAACCCATGTATGAAAAACGAAAACGCCTTGTAAGTCGAATACCTGACAAGGGGACAGGCACATTATCGTGTATTCCATTCATTTTCTGCATTTATTTTAAGTGTTCCTACAAACAAGGAACAGCTCTTCGAAATAAGTACAATGATGGAAGTATTATGATGGAAGTATTATTTAATACTTCCAACTTCCATGGTACAATTGATTATTTGAATGAAATCATTATGCAACAATTTATATCGTAAAAAAACTTAAGTTTGGAAAGTTTGAGAAAATTGTGTATTATAATAAATATATACTGGCTAGTGACCTCAACTGGTATTTCCAGCGTACGGATTTCACTGTTACATATAATAAAACACAACCTTGTGTTTTTCATAAAAATTTATAAGTTGGATTCGTATGAAACAAGTGTACTTAAATACAGGTTGTACTTATTGTGTAGAAAAACCAAATATTTTCATAAAACATAATGAAAAAACTCATAAACCTTGATACAATATTTAAAATGTCTTTATAATTTATAGAATGATTGACTATCATAGATTCAATATAGCTAATCTAATCACAGTTTTCTTTTAAATTGATACGAAACAAACAGATTTGAAGGGCATTTCACTCAAAAATATTGATTTAAATTGACATTTAATTTGAAAGAGTACGTTCAAGTTAAATCGATGCGTTTAAGATGTTCTGTGAACCGTACTTGAGATTGGTTTCTTACACGTTTAAGATGTCCTGTGAACCCGTACTTTAGATTGGTTTCTTACACAATTAACTGATTGAAATTTACAAATATCTTATGAAAAGATTTTATCAAATCGACCATTTTACATTTTAATTGTTGATAAATGTTGTCTGATCAAGATCATAGGCTGTATCATTACCATAGCATCACTAAACATGTAGACAGTCGCGTGCGGGTCGTCATGACCCGTAAATAGGTACATGTATATATGTAATATTAATCGGCCAAGACCGAGGTCTGTGACCTGTCGATAAAGGTCCCATGATGAAGGAAGGGGTCCAATGAGCGAAGAATCCTTTAAAAAATCTATCTTAATTCCGCCAAAACAAAAAACATTAAACTGAAGCTTATCAAAGACTCAAAACTATGATTAGGAAAACTCCATGATTTCAATTTTCCTTTGGTAAACTTCCCATTCGTTGTCATAAGTAGGGAAATACTGTCTACTCAAGGTTATGACTTTTACGTATCTTTTAATGATATACTAAATATGTTCAAAGAAATGAGATTCCACAATCAGAAGTGTACGCATATAGAGTTATTAGAAAGAACAATTTTAAGAGTTAATTTTATCACTTTAGAATATCTAAGGTGACCGTTACGACTTTGTTGATCAATGCACTTTCTAAGAGTCTTATCTTACTGAATTATTGTTTTCTTTCTTTTATCATGCATGGACACGACTGAACTGTCATTTATTATTAATTTGTTGATAGACCCCAAGGGTTGACTTGAGTACAGAAATATGGTCATCTGGACATCTTTCATGCGACAGAAAACGCCATGATAAAGGGGGTCATCCGTTTGAGTATGCAGGGTGCAAAAATAAGGAATGTGGACATCCGATGCCTTGTGATGGAGTTTGTCATGATCTCCTCAATTAATAGAACACTTTTACCACTCTTTGAGGAGTCCGTAGGGGACCTGTTGCATTTCTACTTACATACAACATTTCTTCATTTTCCAGTAACAGTCCAATTTCCAATTCTATATCTCCTATTTATATTTTTATTCTCTTCTTGGATATGCATGAAATATGTGCCACTGGACGTTAGAAAATATGCATGAAATATGTGCCACTAGACAATAGCCAACACCCATTTAGCGTGTTCAAAAAACATTTCCCGGGTCATGACAGTTGCTAGTGGATATGACTTCGGAATTGAATGACGGGTGCTACACTAAACTTATTTGTCTTGTATTTATTCCGATGTCCCGGTTTTGTTTGTACTTCGGCGTGATGATTTTTTTCCCTTCCTGTCTTTGGTATATTGCGTTCATATTTACGAATATCAATCAATTTAAACTTAAAAGAATGGACGAGAAGTGTCTTATTTTGCCTTATTTTAAATGAAATATATGATTTCGAATTTTGTCTATTGAAAAAAAATAGACATGTACTGTGACCTATAATGGTTTACTTTTATAAATTTTGACTTGGATGAAGAGTTGTCTCATTGGCACTCATACCACATCTTCTTATATCTATATATGAGATACCAAAGGGAGATTCAAAATTCAGAAGTCTAAACGAGACAGTGAAGCGAGACAAACCAAATCATGGTAAAAACGACACAAGACAAATAACAGTCTACAAAACACTACATTAAAAACTAAAAACTGAGCAACACAAACCCCACCAAAAACCAGGGGTGATATCAGGTGCTCCGGAAGGGTTCCAATATCCTGCTTCACATGAAGCACCCATCGTGTTACTCATGGAAACTACAAATTCTATGTGAAGTTAAAAGTTGTGATAATGCAAAACTGAAAACAAGGTACATTGTTGATTATAATCAATGACGTCATAATAAATGTAGTGGAAATACATTGATTTAGGACAACTTTCAAACATTATCCCGACACCTAAAAAAAAAAAGATTTTATGAAAAATTAACAAATAAATTTATTGCATTGTTTGTCTGATTGAATTTAATAGCTCTTACACTTGGTAAACATATTTCCAAGTAATAAATATGTAACTTTATAATTTAATACCTTTTTTTAAAGAAAAATATAGTTCATGCCAACTTTCGTCCTCAAATTCCAGGTGAATATCTTATAATATTTTGGAGACCTGAAAAAGTTTAAACTTCACATAAACTTATTATTGTTAAAGTTTTTTGTTATTATTTTCATATTTCAGACGAACAAGGGCCTAGTTAAGCTCACCTCCTCCTTTACATAATAAGTAAAATTATGAAAATACTCACTACATGTTGTATATTTATTATCTATCCGTCTTCTACTGTAATCAGCCTTTGAAATATCAAATTAGCATAAATGATTAAGTTTTGCACTGTATATTCATTGCATGATGTAATGTTATGTTTAGTCCAAAATCAAAAGCTAGTGAAATAGAAACGTTAACAAGTATTTTCTAAACACTTAGATATATATTTCTTTTAAGAAGTGAATTCGATACAATCTTTTACAAACAATAAAACCAGATAAAGATTGAAATGTCAAATCGTATGTCAGATAGGTATAAAGTTTCTATTCACAAATGCAAACGTTTAAAGATTTCCGATGTATTGAGTTTAACTTATTTGTGCATACTTAAATAAAACAGTAGTTTTAATTTAAACATATATCATCGATTTTATTTTTCGCAATCAAATTTATAATTAAAGTTTTTGTCGTTGGTTACAATACCTCGTTTTCGTAACCATTATTTATCTTTGTAAAGATTATGTAAACGAAATTATTACAACTGTATACTTCGAGGGTGATTCTGAAAATAATTATTACTAATTTCTAAATTAACTGAAGACAATTATATACAATATTTCTTGTATAATACAAATAAAGGATCGTAGGGTCACCAAACGTTTTAGGCAGTAAATAATAACATACCAACATCCAAAGCCCCGACTCCTCTAAAAAATAAGACGTACTTTTAGAGTCTGGAAAACTTTTGGATACATTTTACAAAAACTTTGAATGTTGTCGGAAAAATCGACAGTAATATAAAATTCATCAAATTATAAAACTTTACAACCCTTACATGAACTTCATATATTGTATAACTTAGTCATTCGAAATGATATAGAAAGATTAATAATTCATTTTCCTATTTGCACAAATGCCAGCGTTTTAAACCACCGAAAATTGAAATTGCTATATCCATGTTAAACAAACACGCATTGACTAAAATACACCGAATATTATCACAGTAAAAAGAAAAACCATTGTTCAGATACATATTATTGAACATGCCCTCGAGTAAAGTGTGCGAATGAGTACTTGCACACTGCTTACATTTGTACCTTTAGCTTGTTATGCAAGTTAATTAAAAACTATCAAAAATAGAACAGAAATAATGAAAATAGATAAAAAAAGAAAGACAAAAAAGTCATTATTATATAGACAGCGACATTAACATAAGGTGATTATCATTTGATTTTCCGGGGAGTGGACACAGCTGATGGAGGAAAATATTACCATTTTACACATAGTTTCTAGTCAAATTTTATACGATTCAATTCAATGTTTTGTTTAAGTCTCACCTCTCAACAAGTACAATCGATTTTGGAAATTGTAAAACAATACTAAATAAAATGAGAGCCATTCTATACAGAATTATAAGAGACTATTAAAATGCATATATATATTACGTTAAACAATATGAAATAAAATATTATTTACAATAAATAAAATTTCTACGCCTTCTTAAAATTAAATAACAGGTCTTGGAACACACACGTATCATATTTACATCTGAGAATAAAAACACTAACTTTTGGTTATCATCCAAAGTATTAAAATTTTCATTAAAAGTTTTAACAACATACTATAAATGGTTTCTAAAATCGTCATAAACAGGACATCTTAATAAAACATGCGCTTCGTCTTCAATAAAATCATCACATATATGGCACTCTCTGTTTTCTAAAACTACATTTTCATATCTCCCAGTTTCAATCCTCAGTGGGTCTACACCACATCTAAATTTGGCGAAAGCACTTTTGTGCTAGACAAATTACAAAATTCATTATAAATATAAATACAGATATCTCACATTCTAATATCTTGTGTACATCTTAAGAAGATTTCGTATTGTATGAAACAAAAAGTGGTCTCAACACGCCCTTTCTAAATTTGCCATAAGCAATGGCCGTCAGATCGTGTTTTTTTTAAACCCAATTATTTTGGGGGGAAAAACGAAAACAACCACAAATGCAATATCGGCAATTTTTTCAAAAGGTACCCATGTTGCTTGTAAAAAGGCATAGATAAACCATTTTGTTACCCGTGAAGACCACATATACAAGAATTTGATATCTTAATCAATTCTAATGCCTTATAAAGGTAAATTAAAACATTTAACTGCGAAATTACGAGATGAATAATTATATCTCAAACAGTTAATTGACTTTTTTATTATAAACTTTCTGATTGTATATTCGATATTGAACTATAACAAATCAAAATTGAGAATGGAAACGGGGAATGTGTCAAAGAGACAACAACCCGACCAAAGAGCAGAAAACAGCCCAAGGCCACCAATGGGTCTTCAACACAGCGAGAAAATCCCGCATCTGGAGGCGTGCTTCAGCTGGCCCCTAAACAATAATGTATGCTAGTTCAGCGAAAATGGACGTCCCACTAAACTCCGAAACATATAAATGAACCAAAATTAAAAAAAACATACAAGACTAACAAAGGCCAGAGGTTCCTGACTTGGGACAGGCGCAAAAACGCGGCGGGGTTAAACATGTTTTGTGAGATCTCAACCCTCCCCTATACCTCTAGCCAATGAAGAATAAACAAACACACAGCAATACGCACAGTAAAACTCAGTTTAAAAGAAGTCCGAGTCCGATGTTAGAATAGGTAACAGAATTCATTGATGATTGATCGTTGCTTGCTTGTTCAACATTCAATTGCAAATAGTTTATGCATTTCAGGACAACTTTCATATCCAAATGAATGGTTCTTTGTGCATTTACTTTGTATTTCTAATGTTGGTCTTCCTAGACATTTATTCCTTCATTTGCCGTGATTTAATCAAAATACATAATATATATATATATGAGAGGCATGTTCATAATTAGGGGAATGATTAACCGACTTTTAAAACAATCTACTCGCTCTTATTTTGAATTAAATATTAAAATTTTTTCTTTGCATTGAATATAATAAACAAATGTGAAGTTATGCTTCAGAATGATATCAGCATTTCAGAGGCCATGTCAATAAACATTGAGCTTCATCCTATACAGACCTTAAATGTTCCTGAAAATAGATTTAGTTTTAAATGCTCTTAAATGAATTGTTATTTCATAAAGCATATGTTAAAAAGAAAAAAAACAAATCAATCAGGTTCAAGTTTTTTTTCTGTAACATTCATTACATGCAACACATCAAACATCAATTTTATAGATGTAAAAAAAAAAAAAAAAAAACATTGCATTCAAAGCTCAGTGCTTGAGGACATGTCCTCCTAATATTTCATTAAAGTTAATAGCATATATCATTTAATAACCAACAATGCAACTCTCTCAAGATATTTGGTTTATTTCCTCTTAATAGACTTAAGCCTGGCTACTTGTTTACTACCCCATGGTTATGTATAATTGCAATAAAGATTTTACGATGATTTTTTTCTTTGCAAGAAGGTACAAGAATAGATTCTTCATTGACAAAATGGTATAAAAATAAACGTTCAGACAGAAACTATAAACTTATTATACTAACATAAACATGTGAATAAAACTACACTTTCTTATGATTGTATCTGATATCTGTTTGATATGGTTTTCAAATTTAGATGAACAGGTCTGATAGTACGACGTACGCGTGCCTTCCAGACACTACTTAATTCATCTGCTTGTTCTCCTATCAATAAGCGATTGTTTTAGTACAAAATCATCCATTATTTTTTGAATTTTCGTGACTTATTTCATTTTGTTAGTAATGTCTCTGGATTCTATATTACGTTTGCTAGCGTTCCTGGAGTTTTCTGTCTTGGTTAGTTCAGCAGTGTTTTCTTCGAATGAAGAATCGGCGTTGGACAGTTATATCAATAATCTCATTGGATGTAAAGATATTCCTGGTAAGGTTTTATTATAACACTAGATTAAGAGAATTATAAAATATAAAAAGAAAAAAGAACAAGAACAAGAACTAAAAAAAACAAGATAAAGAACAAGAAAAAAAACCACCTCGTTCAATCAACCGAATGTTTCCAATATTGAATGTGAATTAATTTGACATGTTGAACTTAACTAACACCGACACAACTCAGAATGCATCATTTTCTATAATATTGCTTCTAGTACCAATAACTGCTTGGATACTTAAAAGTAGAATAAGTATACAAATTTACGAAAGATATATATATGAAAAAATAACATACTTAAGAATTATACTCAGTTTTATGACATAAAAATGTTGAATGTTCGTTAGTTTATATGGCATCTTCGTGTTCAGCACATTCAAAAAGTATACCACGAAAACACAAGTTGTTAGCAGTAAATAAACTTTTATAACAATTCAATTCAATTCAAATCTTTATTGCCATTACACCATACATTTATATCATGTGACACAACATATCAAAATAAAAATAAACAATATCAACAAGATCATTAATATACATAATGAAAGTAATTATTTCAAGAGTCCCCTGTCCTCAGTTCTATAGACTGTTTAAAAAAGGATTCGAGCTTATTTACCCTAATGTGTAATCTTGGGTTGAGTATATATGTAATTTTATCTATATCATTTAAATCTGTAAAGTGCATATTCTCATTTATCAAAAAATCAAAATAAAGATAACTATCACTTATAAATATTCATCCGTGTGTTGTAGGAGTATTTTATCCTTCGGCAGTGAACGGTTTATTTTCATAATATAAACATTTCTGTCTGAACTTTACTATTCAATTTGGTGGTTCTTTTATATTTGCTTTTAGAAAAAGGGAGCTGGCTTATAATTTGTTTTTCTCATCCAAAATCTTTTCCGAGTGATTCTCTCCTCCCTAGATCAAGCAGTGATGTGGTCTATGATGATAATAGTCAGTCATAATTATAGCAGCCATATTTTCTTTGTAGATTATTCTTGAGATTGATAATTTCTTTGTAATCAGTGAGAGTTTACATTTAAGATAGATAAGTAGTATGCATATGTGTTTTGCCTTCCTTGAAGTGTTCATTCAATTAAATGAAACCAATGTCATATAAATGTAATCAATTCAGTTTTTTTATTTAATTCCCTTTTTAAATATAAATACAAATATTAACTTTCGATGACCTCGAGAGCTCCCGAAGAATAAAACAGCTACTGTTCTTGTTTATTCTTACAGGACTTCGATGGAAATAGTCACGTTTTAGAACACATAACAATATTTAGCGCACAACCTGTTTTTACTTGTTGGAAAAAAAAATTGAACACAAAGGCCATTTCTCTACTAAATTTAGTAGTATTTTTTAAAACAATTTTGGAGAACGAATAAGATTTTTTGAAATCCATATCAAAAGTACTAAAAAGATACAAATACCAAAAACGACATAATTATGTTTCAGAACGCAAAACCAAGGCAATCAATTTAATTTAGTTTGGTACAAATGTGATTGACACTCCTTACGGGGTATCAATAACATAACTATAATGCATTTTGATTTGAAATAATCAGATTACATCTAAAATATCTAATTTTATCACAAATATCCGGTATACACGTACGTTCTGTTTTAATACGAAGAATTAAACAGCTGACAATATATGAATACATTTATTATTATTCCGCGAATACCACAGTAGAACAATTGTTAGTTTATTTATCCCTTTGAAAGAACTCGCGGTTGATGAAAAATAAATATTTACAATAACGATGAATACTGGTTACTAGTATTTTATTTCTAGAATTTATGATTGATATAGGATGCAATGTGGATAATCAAAATAAAACTTCTGAATTTGTGGCTCTAGAAGGATTCTAGAAGCACATTGTTTAATTAACCTTTATCAACAACATTCAAAGCCAGAAACGCTACTAGATATTAGATGAGCGGTAAGTTTGAACTGCTGCGATTAAAAGATACTTATTCTGTTGTTGTTTATGTACACGAAAAATAAGTATCGGAAGATACCTATACATTTGTAACATATCTTTAAACACACGTAAAACTCGATAAAAGCGTTAGCAAGCATGATTCTATATCGAGAGAAATAACTGTTTATAAATAATGTGCGTTCGAAGCGCTTTTCTTGTTTTACCTTCATCAGGAACGCCGAAAGTCAAACAATGGAAAGTCAAGGATGTAAAGGTACTGGAAAAAGTGATGAGCTATATGAAATAAAAAATTATTTAAAAAGAATACTACTAGTAGCCAGATACGTCTAAGATCAAATTTGTCGGAGGAAGTTGGAACCTAAGTTTCTAAATACTATTTACATTTATGAACGGGGATTAAAAAAAAAAGGAGAATTCAATTTATTATGTTAGTACCGAAGCACTGACTACTGAGCTGATGATACCCTATGGACTAGCAGTTCACCGGTAGAGGTGTCGACATAGACTAAGTGCTAGTAAAATAAACTAATTGAGTACTTTTGAAACAGTCTTCAGAAACTGCAAGCATACTTGATACAATAGAATTTAGTGTGTGTTACTACCAACTGTGTTTTTAGATGAACTTTTATTTTGATCTTTTTTTGTGTCTTTTGTTAACCGTTATTAGTTATGGGTTAATTGTTTATGGCAAATGATCGTGCTTATTTTTGGTAGACTCTTTTATATTTGTTAACACTCCTAGAGGAAGTGAGACGAAAAACTTGATAAATTTTCCAGATACTTGCTATTTGTTTAAGCGGTTTGTTGGCATGTAGGAGCATTTTTATTTAGATTTATTTATGTGACATTGAAGTTTATCCAACTTGCATTTATCAAAATCTACAAATTATTTTTAAAAATCTTCTCATTCAACAATAATTGAATAAGAATTGTGAAAACAATTTTACAGCTTAAGCACTGAAATCCTCAATTGGAAAAGATATTCTCTAAATTGTATAAAAATTAAAAAAAAACAACATAGGAGTTATTGTTGTTGTTTGTTCCGACATGCATTAAAATAGCCAAAATAATATTTGACGCAAAGTTTTATAGATTACCGGGTATTATATAGAACTAAACACAATTTTTGAATCTATTTCATTTACGTTATATAACTCTTGATTGAGACGAACACTTTTAAAGGTAGAGAACTGAATACTAAAAAATAGCTTAATTCTGGCATATGTTTATGTGCCTGCTTAGATCCTGATCAGTTATATTTAGTTATGCATGTATCTCAATATGTAGTCCTTTTGAAGGAATGTTGCAGTATGATAAATCTTAGTTCTACTCTGTAAGATGCATTACTGGCTTTCTAGGAAGCATAATGTTCATATGATAAAGACATAATCTTTTGATCAGTTTAATTGAGGTCTGGAGCTGGCATGTCAGTAACTGTTAGTAGTCCTTTGCTAATTTATGTTGATCATTGTCATTTTGCTTAGTTTCTTCTGTTACCTATTCTAACATCGGACTCGGACTTCTTTTGAACTGAGTTTAACCGTGCTTTTTGCTGTGTGTTTATTTATTCCACATTGGCTAGAGGTATATAGGGGAAGGGTTGAGATCACACAAACCATGTTTAAGCCCGCTGCATTTTTGCGCCTGTCCCAAGCCAGGAACCTGTAGCCTTTGTTAGTCTTGTGTGTTTTTTTAATTTTGGTTCATTTATATGTTTCGGAGTTTAGTGTGGCGTCCATTTCGATGAACTAGTATACATTATTGTTTAGGGGCGAGCTGAAGCCCGCCTCCGAATGCGAGATTTTCTCGCTGCTTTGAAGACCTATTGGTGGTTTTGGGAAGTTTTCTGCTCTTTGGTCGGGTTGTTGTCTCTTTGACACATTCCCCGTTTCCATTATCAATTCTATTATATTTGTCTCCGACTTGTCGAAGTTAAAGACAATAAGTATGTTGACCTCAAGATGTCAATTGAATACGATTAATATACTTTTATTCATATGAAATAGTCTTCAATAAACCTATGGTATTATTCGCACTTATGTTAAAAAGTTATCGTGTAATCTATTTGAATTTTTATTATGTGTAATTCTTTTTTTCCGTAACTCACTACCATAGCGATCAAACAGCTAAAATATGAAATTTCGTTCAAATGTCGATGAATCGAGTAATTTCACATGGAAGGTACATGTATCAGCATTTGTTCATTTAAGATACTTTTTTCGAAGTGATGATCAGATATAATATAATACAATTTATTCTAACCACCCTGCAGTTTTCAGGATAACTATATTGAACTTTGATAAAAAGTTGATACAAGATCAATATAAAAAAATGTTGCTGAAATTTTGTTTGCTTTTGATTTGAAATAATTGACTGTGAATAGAATAAGATTATGATGATGTTAAAACACCTTTATTAAAAATATGTCATTGTGTGTAGATTCTTGCACAAGTCAATTGGAAGCAATGTTGGATAGTTGTGAATAGAAAAGTGTATATATATACAGCTACTATTTGAATTTACATCTCAAATTTTAAGGATTTCCTGAAGTAACTTAAATCAATCCACATATTCTACAGGAAAACTTGGTTTTGAAGAATATCTTATTTTCAGAAGTTTTATGAATACCTGAACATACTCTCAAAAGAACCAATTTATATGAAAAAGATATGTAGATATAAAAAGATACCAGGATTAAAATGTTGTACGCCAGACGCGAGTTCAGTCTACAAAAGACTCATCAGTGACGCTGGAATAAAAAAAAGTTAAAAAGTTGAAAGGAATTGAAGACCCCAAACTTCGAAACAAATGTTTCGCCGAATACATCTAAGGTAATCTATTCCTGGGGAGAAAATCCTTAGCATTTCGAAAATGTCAAAGTTTATAATAGGACAGTGTAGGATAGCTGGTCAACACAATGAATACAATTTTCAAAATTGTACCATATTGCAAAGATTTAGATGCTATAAGCTTGAACTATTAAAAACAAGCCAAACAAAAAAAAAAAGAAAAAAAAAAAAAAAAAAAAAAGAATTGAAATTTAATAATTAACATACATTTCTGTTAATGAATCTTTTCCGAAAATTCAGAATATAATATCAATAAACACAAACGTCAAGTATTTACTGATTGACATTTTATTTATCAAATCAATCTCTTCTTAAAGTCTAACTTTCCACTATATGAATATATTGCTATACTAAATATAAGCAGAGACATATAAACCCATACTAAAACAGTATAAAATAATTAACATAGTAATTAAATTTCTTTTATGATTATTGCAAAAATATTAATTACGTTTTTTGTTTGCTGCAAGGATTTAGAATCCTAGAGAATTGAAACCATGCAAGTTTTTTTTCATTCACTACCGTTTAAAATTTAGATACTAACTTATGTGTATACGCATCCCTGCTCGTTGGTGCTCATATGTTGCATATAATTGTCATAAATTTATTCACTGTTCAAACCTGCGGGACATAATACACGGATATAATTATATTCTATTAAGGATAAATTTAGTCTCAGTTTAAACTTAAAAATTTTGATGAATATTCTCTTGGTCTGGTAGTATCTATTAATGAAATTACATATTTTTGACAGAAAAATCCTTTTTTTTTAATTATCTTTTTGCTTTCTGACCACTGACCGACCTTAGATAAATATTGATAACAGAAATATCGTTTTGTTAATTTTCTTCATGCTTTCCGACATTTTCCCAGGCTATGATTGAAATACAAAATATCACGTGATAAACGTTCAGAAATAATCAGTTTATTCTGGGATATTATATACTAATAAACTATTCCCAGGTTTATTGCCTCAATGCACAACAACACGCTGTATTAAATACTACACACACAACGCGTACGGGGACCGTCTCAAAGCATGAATTATATAATTGCGTTATCATTACACTCTATATCTAATAAACATTCGCATTCGCATTATTAAAAACAACTATGTTTTGTCAAAAGACAAATAGGTTCTAACATATAAATGATTTTTTGACTTCAACCTAGTCTTTATTTTTTTACTGTCCGATCCACAAATGAACTTTGATTGTTGAAATATACAATGTCACGTGGTAGCCTATCCATAGAGGGACCGTACCAAAGAAATAGATAACTGCCTGTGTAAATGATCGAAATTGTTCGAGAGGTTCCGAGAATCTTGTTTCCGGAGATATCCGAATGGTCCATAGAAGCTACCAAAACTTACCAATATATATAGGCGTGAACCCCTCAGGGGGTTCACGCAAAACTATTACTAATGTATAGACAACCATAGTTTACCGATGTATATATGTTCCGGACCATATGAGTATTTGGACCATACGCGTATGGTAATGACCATATGCGTATATAACTCATATGGTCCGACCATACGCGTATGGTCATCAGTCCGATGTATATATGTTCCGGACCATATGAGTATTTGGACCATACGCGTATGGTAATGACCATTTGCGTATATACTCGTATGGTCCGACCATACGCGTATGGTCCGGGTAAATAATATGATGCACGCTGAAATGCTTATTTTACTGTAAATTGTATAAGGTATGAAATTAAAGAGTTTCTTGAAATGAAATGTTAACTTGTTCAATCATATGGTAATCATTGTTATATGATTAATGAAAAAAAGTGAATTTTACTCACTAGTTAAAATTATAGAAAAAGGATTTTACATGTTCATTATCGATTTTTCCTTACGCAACATGTGTATGTCGACTTTGGAAAATTACTTCAAAAAATCTAAATGAACAGTTAAAAAAAAAGTCGATTGTTTTACGACAGGTACTTGGGGCATTGGATCCTCTTTTTTGGTTTAATTTTTTTTAGTAAATTAAATATTCAGTCAAATTAGTTTTATTTATTAAATGTGTTGTTGCTCATATTCATACGATCGTTCATTAACCGTAGTTTATACATGCTGTCCCTCTATTTTTATGTGCAGAAATAAGTAGAAATTAGAATAATGTTTTCAAACTTATCTAAACAACGAGGGAAAACACACAAAAAAGGCCCAAAATACCTGTGGTTTCACTTATTAGCGAAATATTCGATAGGATAAAGGCGATACACTAAGATTCAGACAATATGTAAAAGATAAAGGATTTCAGTCAGTCAACTTGTGCCAATTTTGGTTTGGAGAACGAGTGGTGTGTTCCTCCGAAGGAAGTTAGAATTTATTCGAAAAATACCTAAATGGTCTAAATACTCATATGGTCCAGCCCGTTAATAACCAAACGAGTATATACTCATATGATCCGACCATACGAGTATGGTCAGACCATATGAGTATATACGCGTGTGGTCCAAATACTCATATGGTCTGGAACATATACATGTAATTAGTAGCTTAGTATGAGGTTTAAAAACGCAGCGGCGGAGGCTTTAATTAACGAAATTCTGATTTTGCAGGCCTTGGATTAGCAGTTGTAAAAGATGATGAAGTCTTTTCCAAAGGATACGGATTAGCTGATATAGAAAAACAAACACAAACAACCAGTTCGACCATTTTCTGTGTGGGTTCAGTAACAAAGTCGATGACAGCGATGCTCCTAGCTCGTTTGATATCTTCTGGCAAATACAGGTACAATTTAATAAATGCTTCTATCAGTACCATTCTGAAAAAAACTCCGACAATTCAGAATCAAAATCAACGACTTTCGAAATATAGATTAATGTATTTTTTCCTCTTTGTTGGGCTTTAATGTATCATCATTTGCTTACAATTTACGAATTGATTGTTGTTTAATATACAATACATTTACAAAATTTTGAACGACTTGATGCAAGCTACTATACATGCTTCTGTGATAAAAATATCCAGTTTGGAAATTGTTGATTTTCAATACCTGTATAGAAACATTCCAACAGCATCTGCATATGCGTATCTTCTTTTTGGTTTTATCAACAAATATTGGTAATTACCTGGATACAAAAATAAAAAAGAAGACACGCATACACAGGGGCTGTTGTAATGTTGGTACGCAGGTATGGAAACAAACTATATACATCCAGATACTAGTATATACATGTATCTATATCTCGCAAAATTGATTCGATATTCAGGGGCTTGCGTTTCTGATCATGATTACCTTGATAGAGGATTGCTGCTAACAATAAAGTCATTCAGCCAATATTTCTAAATGTAAAAGTCTTACGGACATCATACTGATTTTGTTGACTGTTACTGTATATCTGTTTCACATATGACCACTTGTTCAACCCTCGAGACTGTCCTCTTTTCCTCGATTGTGACATCGCAAAAGGCGATTAATCACCTAATTTTTACATGAGCATAACGTCAGGTGCCAATAGTGGAGCAGGATCTGTTTACCATTTATTAACATAATACCTGGGTACAACAATTTTTTTAATTGATTCATACTGTGACATTTTAAGTTTTCTTTTTCAAGTATTTTAGTAACTGCTATTTGTATTCCCTCCACTAATGAATTCCTTTGAATTTTAAAGCTATCTAGCTGATGATTATCAACTACAATCAATTTATTAAACAAGGTATTGAAACTTATACAATGAGTTACAACTATGAGCTCACTATTTTTTTCCCTTCAGACTTCGCTGGACCACAAAGATAAAAGACGTATTAGGACCCGACTATACATTTATAGATGATTGTATTACAGACTCAGTTACTCTAGAAGATATTTTGTCTCATCGCACAGGATTGGCATCGGCGGATCTTCTATTACAAGCCGGGATTTCAGATTCTTTTACGAGAGAGCACATGATGAAGTAAATATTCCCCTCTTTAATTGAAATGGTATACATTTGGTAACATCATGGATGATTAGATAATGAGTTAATGCTAAGATCTGCTAACCCTTTGGAGCACCTGAGATCTCCCCGGTTTATGGTGGGGTTCGTGTTGCTCAGTCTTTAGTCTTCTTTGTTGTGTTTTGTTTACTGTTTGTCTTTTCGTCTTTTCGTCATTTTCCTTTTTTGTCATGACATTGTCCGTTTGTTTTCGACTTATGAGTTTGAATATCCCTTTAGTATCTTTCGCCTCTCTTTTAATCTTTAAAATGGGTTGATAATATATCAAGAAAAAATATTTGTGTTAAAACTGTAACACTTAACCTATAAAGAAACATCGTAGAAAAAATAAATAGGCGTCAATAGTATTATAGATATTTGCATTTTTTTTCGAAAATTCAATTGTTTCAAGTTGTATTGTATCAAGTGTTTTAACATAAAAGTTAAAAGATTACATGTCTTTTTTGCTGCATTTGAAAAAAAATTAGTATCAATATACTACCAGAAACAATAGAATGTAGGCAGGCATGATTTAACATCAGTAAATTATAAAGACTTTTGACCATGCTTATAGTAGTAAGTATAAGTTATCTTTGACAATTGGCTATTGTGTCGCTGGTCCTTGTTTTTTATTGTTGTCTATCATACTCGTGTTATAGAGTTAAGTGTCGTCCTCTGATGATCCAGTTAATTGAAGTTTGCTTAATGTCCAGTGGCAACTATTTCATGCATATTCATGACAAGACCACATTAACAATTACAATGTAACACAAAGGGGAATCTGAAGGAGAGAGGAATGGGACAAATGATGGATACTGAACTGCCACTGAAGGGTATGATCGATATGCCCTGACACAAAACAACTTCGAAACCCACATAGTTTTGTTGTTGGGTCCATTAACCTGAAGAGAGTGTGACCCTTACTCTACACGAGACATCGGATCCTATTCATACCGGACGTTACTATTGCGAATTTAAACATCCTGCAGAGCCAAACGGAAGCCTAACATATAAAGGGTTTGACTGTCGGAACGGGAAAAGTATAGAGATGACCATATTTCTTTAACCCAGTCAACTATTGGGGTTAGTTGTGAAAGAGGGGATTTTGAATAGGAAAAACGAGTTCACCGACCAAGCCACTTGCCTGTGTTAATTCATTTGATTTTGTGGATTGATGCGAGTTATGAATTGCAATCAGCGGATTTGTTTTGTATTATGTTTTACATTTTGATGGTTCATATTGATATGAACTTTCATAGTGAATTATTTTAAACGATAGTTCATTCTTAATCTTTGCCAATAATGAAACAAAATGAGAATACCATGGTGAAACATACGTATATTTATATATGAATATACTATTAACACTTTATATTTCGTACGTCCGAAGCGCTTCTTTGTATTGACTTTCATCGGGAAAGCTCAATCTCATAAATTTGAAAGCCAAGGATGTATTAATACTATTTTAACACATGAAAGGTTATATTACCAAAATCAACTTATCAACTTTAAGAAAAACATGTTATACATATGTCATTACCGAAATCCCAGTAATATTTATAAGTTTACAACAGACACTAATACAATCTTTGTAGTTATGAACTATAAAAGAACTACTCTATTTCAGGAATCTTAATTACCTACCAAAACTGCAAGAATTTCGGGATTCTTTCTTTTATAATAATATAGTTTACATTCTCGCGGCACATGTAGCTGAGAAGAGAGCTAATAAAAGCTGGGAACAATTAATGAAGGAAGAATTACTAGTTCCTTTGAACATGACGTCAACAGTAATATTAGATGATGGAAATAATGAAACGCTGGCTGTTCCCTACATTGTTGACAAAACTGGAAAGCTGTACAAATCTGACGAACGACTCTATAGGTATATGAATATTAATACTGTCATCAAAGTAAGCTAGAAGCGAACATTGCAAATTAGACCAAATTCACAATTGAACGTCTGTGTTTTGCACGTTTTGATTGGTTCTTTCAGCTATTATGGTGACATCGAGACGACTGCGAAAAGAAAAAAAAAACAATCAGTGGAGCTTAAATAAAGCAGGTTGAAGGTCAAATCAAACACGAAGTTGAAGAGCATTGAAAACAAAAAAATAAAAAGCTGTGCTAAATACGACTTAAGCAAGTATATGCCTTGTTGTAGAAAACAAATTGTGTTTCGAATATTTCAAGAGTTTTTTAACCATTTTACTGACAAAGTTAAAACTGAAACAATAGTTGATTAAATGGACGTTACATATATGATTTGGTCTTATTCAGTAATTCACTAACAAATTACTAAACATAAAAAAAAACAACTTAAATGCACAAAGCGAAAATCATGGAGCCGTTCATATCTTGTTTTATTATCTTATTGTGTTTCATTTTTCGGGCTTCGTTATGCATTTGCAATAAAGTGATTTCATCCAAAAATCACACACAAGAATGTGAAACATAAGCAATTAAAATGAATCAGTATTTCGAAGTGTTAATCTGCATGCACACAATTCAATGTTTTTGTTTTTAACCAAATTCATACTATAAAAGTTTTACATTTTGTACAAGCTATAAGTGAATTTCAGCCACATTTTGTTACTAAGTGGGATTTGTACAAACACTTATATATATTCGCAGTCAAAATACAAAAAAAAAAAAAATCGCGTACGTTTGTTCAAATTATAATTTGTCAGAAATAATCACTTATACACATCATATATCTTTCATTTTCGTAGTACACAATGTGAATATTTTAATTGGAATGAACATACAAAACTCAATTGGATAATGTCAATTGAAATGTTTGCAGACTGCACCCTTTTGGACCGTCTGGTAGTATTTGTGCATCAGCTGATGACATGACCAAATGGTTAAATTTGATCACATCTCAAGGAAAGATTGCTGAAGGTTCAAAACAAATCATTACTGAATACGTCTTCAACGGACAATTCAATATAAAAAGTGTTCTAAATACCATGTGGGCTAACGCATACAGTTTGAAACTACCACAGTTCCCAGTAGCGTTTGACACATTAGGCTATGGATATGGATGGTTTGTGTCATATTACAGAGGTAGGTGTAGTAAAGTTCCTAGACAAACACATGGATATAAATCTTTTCGGTAATTAATTGTGACTGATTGTTAATAGATCTCAGAAATATGTTGTAAAAGAACGACAAAAGATAGAGCAGATACCAAGTTGCTACCGTTGATGTTAGGGAATAAAAGTCAAATCCAGTGATAATTCTCTTTTGGTAATGTAACAAAAGAGAGGCGAAAGACACCAAAGGGATATTTAAAATCAAAATTGAAAGTGAACTAACAACGCCATAGCAAAATACGAATAACACAAAGACAAACTACAGTATACAAAACACAACACAGAAAACTAAAGACTGAGCAACAAAATGAGAATCCTTCCTAAAACGGGTCGTGATCTTAGGTGCTCTGGAAGGTAAAGCAGATCCTGCTCCACATATGGCACCCGTCGTGTTGCTCATGTAAGTACAAACCCGGTGATAAGTCTTATTCGGTTGGTCACATTCGGGAATTATTTTTTCGAAGGGATGATTTTATCTTCTACATTTGAAACTCTTGATTTAATAGCAACCCTTTATCAAGGAAATCAGGATAGAAAATGCAAGCCCTGGAATATCGTATCAAGTGGGAGATATGTGCTCCATATGAAGGCACAGCTGGAATGTTGCTACCTAGTCATGAAAAGTTCACATTACGGAAGCTGAAATCATCTCTTTTGTCGTAAAGTTTTGTTCTCAACCGACCCTCATTGTCAATTTCTAGATGTTAGTCAAGGTATGAGGCAGACATAACTGTATCTGATGATGTATCCTTTATTTGAAGTTCGATGGGATAGATGCGTTCAACATAGTCACCTATCGACAAAATGAGGACGTGATTGATGTTTTGATCAGTAGACAATATTCGTAATTCATATGTTTAAACCAATGAAATTATGAGGACATTTTCATCAATATCGTTATTTTACAATTATTACGAGCATTTAAGATCCCAAAGTGCACTTATGGAAAAAAAATCAATACACATAATACACACTATTCTCATATTATAGGTCACAGAGTGCTCCATCATTCGGGATCATTGTATGGTTATAGCTGTAAAATAACATATCTTGCTGACCTCAATAGTGCCTTCGTATTCTTCACAAATGGGCCAGGAGAAACTAAATTCGACGAAACTATTGAACCTGTATTCTTCTATATGTTAGATTTAATTTTGGGTTATCCGAATTGGATCAATGAAACAGCAGCATGTCCCTACCCAGCTCCTTGGAGGAATCGCCGCAGTAAAAGATCTACTGAAGACGTTATGTCGATTTCTGGTAAAGAACTAACGGAAATGGATATGCATACTGGTGTGTATAGCCATCCGTTGTACGGAAGTGTGGCTATAACGAGAATCAATAACACCCTCCATATCAGATACGGTTTAATATTGACAGGCAAACTTATTCCAACGTCATCTTCCTTTCAACTTCAGTTGTTTCAGCCTTTGCGTGATGTCTTTCTTTCTATCATTAATGTGTCTTTTCAAAATCTGTCGATTCAGAACAAATATCAAAATCTTGAGTTTGTATCCCTATTCGAGAAATATACCTTTTCAAGGGTTGATGGCGATGTCAGCGGTTCCAATACAGTACATTGTCAACTGAAATTAGTTTTCATATTAATAATACTGATGCAATATATTTGAAGTTTAAATGTCAAATACATGTAGTTTAATAGTGTTAGAAGAATCGTTACCTTTTGAAAGTCTAAATCAATTCTTCAAATAACATAAAATAAACATGAATGAACGATTGACCTATTAGTTTTTAAAGCCATGCGAGACACAATTGGCCTTCAACTGTTGACAAATAACTACACCTTTCTTGAAGCAAAAAGCACAAAGAAACATGAAGGTACTTGGAATGATATAAATTCAATTCAAAGCGGCAAGTAATCCAAAAAATGCTGTATTGCAAGAAAAACATTACCAAGTAGATTTATATAAATTTTACGTTGAATTCATTGGTCATATCCTAATCTTGACGAAATGACAGACGTTTGTTGGCAAGGGCACGCCAACGTTTCGTTAATTTGAAGTTGATACCAAGTACACCTTACCCATTATCATAAAAGTAATTCGCAGACCAACTCTGAAATACAAGGAATGGTTTTATGAATAAGGCTCAATATATGTAATGTTACAATTATACTGAATACTAATCTGACAAATATTCTAAGAAATCTCAATTTGGGCCCATTCAACAATTAAAAATGTCCGTCTATTCACATTGTCGACGGATTAAATAGTATTTAATGAAATTACATTTTCTTGAAACAAGAATGCAAGAGACCATACTTCTTAGTTTCATTTTGAAAATTTGAAATTATCATCATTACTTTTATTTAGAAAATCTGTAAACCTGTTCTAGTATCAACAGGAAAGCTGGTGACAAAATATATCTCCTTCCAAATTGAGCTTTCTAATGATTGGTAATTCTCTGCTAGAACGCTATGGGTTAAATAAAGGCAACAGTAGTATACCGGTGTTCAAAAGTCATAAATCTTTTGAGAGAAAACAAATCCGGGTAACAAACCAAAACCGAGGGAAACACATCAACTACAAGAGGAAAACAAAGGAACAACAGGAACACCAAAGTGCAACAGAAACAAACGCCAACACACATAGAAACGAACTATTTGATAAAAACTGCCATATTCCTGACTTGGTACAGGACATTTTAAGAAAAAATGGTGGGTTGAACCTGGTTTCATGGCATGCCAAATCTCCCGCTTTATGACAATGTTAAACAATATCGCTAAAACACTACGTGACAGAAATACAGCACATACACACGCAGTAACACTCATAACAGAGAAACGCACAAACAAATAATATAATAGTCGACACAACATGCAAACCACAGAACAACAACGAACATATTCCATCAACGAAAAACACCACAGGATATCAAAAACAGTTACGCGCTTACGTAACTAACATGCAGTCTCGAACTTTATACAACTATTTTCACAATATTCGTGCAAACAATTTTCATGACAATGATGGTATGGAAAGGCAATTTTATAATTATTTGGACTACAAACGATAAGACATAACAGATTATCCAACCGAAACCATAACAGAAACATTAAAATAAATCCATTAATGTTGGATGTACAAAACACCGAGACACGCCGCACAGCAATGCAAATTCTCACATTCAGTATAACAGTCATATTCGGGAATTTGACAATGATGGTATTGAAAGGCAATTTAATAATTATTTGGACAACAAACGATATGACATAACACATTATTAAACCAAAAACATCAAAAATAAATACATGAATGTTGGATGTACAAAATACCGAGACACGTCGTATAGCAATGTAGATTCACTCTCGGTATAACAGTCATATTCGGGAATAGGTCACGTTCGGTACTTAGCAGACAGACGACATAGATGTTAAACCACAATCTAAGACGTGGTAAAAATGTCATTAGTTAGTTTAGACACAGACACATCGTATAGATCAACCAATTTTTGATGGTGTCCATAAAATTTACGGAGTGTCATTTTAAATCTTTCCTCCTCAGAACTCTGTTGGAGCAGTTTCTGCGTAAGGAGCACACTCCTGTATATGAAGTCAGTATAGTGTGAACATGCACGAGCATAACGTATCAATTGAGATATGTACACACCATACGACGGAGCAGAGGGTATGTTACTGCAAAGAAATGGGAAATTGATAATTGGGAAGTTGAAATCATCCCGTTTGTCATAGATTTTAGTGTGAGGTCGTCCATCTGAAAAGATCAAGGTATGAAGCAGTCCTTCTTGGATCAGTAGTATCCTTAATTTCAAGTTCACTGGGATATATGAGATACAAGTACTGACTGAAATATGGGTTATTCAGTGATAGGACATCATCATATATCTGAAAGTAAAATTAAAGAACTTTGCAAGGTGCTTTTTCTTTATGTCTTTTAGTAGGTTTTGAATGAATTCTGCTTCATACGAGTAGAATTAAAAGTTTCCTTAGAAAAATTGCTGTTACCATAAGAATACAAACAGTTATTATATAATATAAGCAGTACTTTCAAAGTTAACAAAAAGTGATGACATCACATAAGCATGACAGTTGTCTTCAAAAATGCATACTAGGAAATCAGCAGATTAGCATTTATTGTTGCGACTGTTGAGAGATTAATCATAACGATTTAAGGAAATGTTGCATACAAGTTATGATATCACTATTATTGAAAATGCAAGTTTTAATTAGGTTCATATTACGTCGCAATTTTTGCACTACTTGTAATTTAAATATCGCAAGCTTTCTGAATTCGAATTTATTGTAATTGAAATTCAAAAATGATCATCTGGACTTTTCTGTCCCGACTGTAAGCATTTGCCAAAGAAGGATGTGCGGAATGGATAAATATGCAGCTCATCCAGTCGAAATGAAAACGTTAAAACTGATGCCACGTGTAAAGGGAGTGTCATGCTCTATTCACGTATAAGAGTTCTTGCAACAACTCTTTTAGTGGTACTTTGGTGGCCTGTTGCACGACAAAATTTCTGTACCTTATCCAATATATCCTCATTTTCGGTGGCCGTCCGGATTTCCCGCCCTTCATACATGCCGGTCTACCTTGCAGAACCTACCTATCGTAAAAAATGATAATGGTTCCCTTCCTTCCTGAATATGCATGAAACAGATGCCACTGGACGTTAAGCAAGCGACAATTAACCAATCCTAATTGTCTTTGGGGGGTATCTCTAAGATCGAGGTGGGGCAATTAGATGTATTTATGGGCAAGCGGAGAGAAGGAGAATATTTGTGGCGCATGTTGAGGACATTTATTTAAAAAAGACCTTTAATTCTGATTGACTTGTACGCGACTGGCCAATTGTACAATACGTTTTGGAAAATAAAGGCACTAAACGTGCATGGTAAATATGAAAGATAACAAGAAACCTGCAAGTTTGAACGGATTGATAAGAACTATATATGAATAAAAACATCCCTGGTGAACTGATAAAGAAGATGAAGGTAGATGGCAATGCTGTCATCTTATTAGAGAACAATTGCAAGAATTCTATGAGGGGTGTGTAAGTAGCCTGTTGCACGGAAAAATGTCGTATTTATTATTCTTGTTTATTATTAGAGTCTGTCTTGTTCTCGTTTCGACTGGTAGAAGGTTAAATTTACATTGGAATTTGATTAATTATATGAATAATAATAATTTTTGGTCGATAAAATTAATTTAAAAGTAACCGAAATGCATTGTACGTGTATCCATTACAACAACTTGTAGAATTTACACACACATCTACGGGACTGCTGCAGGTTCTCATACCTATAAAACAATATTTATATTCAATATTATGATATGGATTAAACGTAAATAATGCATATTCAACAATTGCCGTTTTTGCTTGTTTTTTAACATGAACAAGAGCCTTTCCTTTTCAGTTTCTGTCATTGTTCATTTGTAAATGTTAAGTTTTCGTGGATATATATCTCAGATATATGATCTGTAGGCGATCGATGAACTTTATAAGGTAAATAGAACTTAAAGAGTTGGAAGATACATAAGATAATTGTTTTAAGATATTTATTTATTACAACTCAACCGGAGCATTTTTTAAAATAATAAATAACAAGATGTAAAAACCAAATGACTTTTCCTCTAAATGAATACCGATAAAGAAAAAAAATACTGTATGAATAAAATCAAAACAACAAACATCACATCTGAATCCTACCTGCATACATGTGTATCATATAAAGTTATAGGTCTTGAATATTTGACTACACAATTACATAATCAATAAATACAACAACTGGAGGCCCTAAGGAGACAGAATCCTTCAACTGTGTTAAAAAGTGCATTTATGGTATATTTATTTGGCGGCTATATTTTTCTCTTTATCCGAACCACATGAGGTTCCTTTTAGACAACACTCAGTAGATCAGTACTGATAAATCTTATTAGAATTGGACGTGGATTATTTATGGAGGGCCTCAACAATCTTTCAGCGTTTCAAACCACCATTGTATGTAGTAACAAAGGAAAAGGTTGTTCAAAATTAGGCAATCATAATCAATTATTGCCTCTGATAGTCATACTTTTCGTGCTATCTGAATCAAATGACAACACTCGGTAGTCTTTTTTATCCTTCCTGTCAAGTTTATTTGACATTGGTCTAGTTTTTTAGAATATTTTTTTTGAAACACTGATTTTTCATACGATTTCAATGGGAACTATATGTCACCAATACAATCCAAACAACATAAAATGAGGAATGTTGGAAGTGGAACACAAAATCATCAGTTAGTTCGCTATGTTTCAAAACAAATGAAATTCTACTTTTAGTGAAGAAGACCTTCGAAAATAAGCAAATCCAATTGAGAGATTTTCATCAGTCAAGTTTTTCGTACAACCGAAAACGACTTTTGATACATCATTCATAACAAATTTGTTTCAAATTGGAAATAGGTTTTTGAAAATTTTCTGAAAGAGTAAAATGTTTACTGGCCAAGATGACGACGACGGGCAAAAGGGATAGCCCACATTATTTTTGAAGACTTGTGGGACAAAACGATAAACATAAAAATAAGAGAAATACAATTATATACTAGTACTAGAAAACTAATGATTGTTAACCGGCTTTTCAACGAAACATATTCACTTGCAACGACATAATGACTCTCAATTACACTAATGATAAGCGTAAATATAAATGTACTGCTAGAAGACTATTCTACTCTTATTAATGCACGTTATACATATACATGTATTTGCTTAAGATGGCTGCTTAGAATAGATCTGATTCGTTCTTCTCTCTTAAGTGAGCTAGAATACAAGTAATTTTTTCCACAAAACATCTATACTGCTTGGATTTTGATGTTTACAAGTTAATGTTTCTGTAAATATCTTTTGCATAAACATTTCTATTTGCAGACGTCATCTTCGTATTGTCTTGTCCTTTTAGTTTACTAGTAACTTAACATCATTTAATATATTGTTTAACATCCCTGAATGCTTGCACATCGGATATTCTTGGTTTAGGTATGGGACTCTTTGTGGCATTCATTTCTGTCTTTTAAAATCTTTTCACATTATGTCGCTTTTTTTCTCTATTATTAAATCGTACATGGTTATCTTATGTAATTTTAATATGTAACAAGCGCCACACTAGCACCTTGATGGTCTGTCTTTGCCGTGTAGGTCCTTTGTCTGTTGCCTGTCCATAGATACTCGAGCCCTATTTTTTAAAGTCGTATCGCAATGTTGACAAGCATGTCCTCTCCTACATGGGGTTTTTGTGTGCTATATATTGACGACTCATGTTTATATATCTTTGAACAAATTTTACATAAAAGTCTACGTCTTCGTCCTCATGATCGATTTGGAAGCTTTATTTTTTCGATCCTATAAACATAAAACACAATTTAATTTTGATACATATGTTTACACTCATTCGGATATCAGTCATCATATGGAAGCACTTTTTGTGATAATGTTGTTGTTGTTTCTTTGTTTCCTTGCTTATTAAAACAAGGCAATTTAAAAAAAAAAAAAAAAAAAATCATCTTTTTGATGTGTTATGAATAATTCAACATTTTATAAACAGTTAATTTATAAAAATATACCAATTTGGCATTTTGGGATTGTTAACATCTGTTTTTAAGGTCATGAAAAGTTTAATACAGTTGTATATTTAAAGATTTACTGTATCTATAAACAAATTAAAGTATGAAATTATTTTTAATCTTGAAATGACAAAACTCATTTATCCCATTTAAAAAATCTATGGACTGATAAAAGATTGTTCTGTTTAAAGCAGTATTCTCTCTTTCCCGACAACATTGTTTTGATAAAAACAAATTGTGGCAGTGTTGTGAAAAGAAAGATGGGTACACCCTTCCATATTAATGCGTGTTTAAACATGCTTTCCCCTTAAAACGTATAAAACAAAAACAAATGTTGTATCAAATTTCTATATATTAATTTTTTAAATATTTTTTAAGACTTAATTTTGATTGACTATTATATAAGAAACATGACTTATTGGGTTGTTAAACGCTCAACGACACACACCTCTTTCTTATATAACAGTAATCTCAGTTTCATTTACTAGTACTACTGCGCTGAAAGTACATGTCTCAAATCGGACATTACTGTTTATTGCAAAACACATCCATCAACAATCGGACGCCCCTCATCAGGTAAAATAGTTTTGAACGCCTTGGTTTTAAAAATTTTTTTTACTCAAACAAAACCAAAGTATAAACAATTATACGGCTAAATATTCTGTGCTATTTTTTGAAAGACATAAATGGCAAATATATGTATTAAATATTTTTATGTAATATTTCTCTCGGAAAATCTTTATGAAGACTCAACCAATTGGTTTTATTGAATTTAACACATTTTACATACATTTGTACTGCTCTTTCATTATAAGCTAACAACCATATTCTTATTCAAAGTTAGTTCATCTTGACGCATCTGATTGTGGTCTACCTAAAATGATATTTAGTCATAACAGTCTTGGTAAAACTGCACTAGTCTTAAATAAACGTTTAACTGTTGAATAGTAAAGAAATTAATTAAAAAAAAATCCAGAATGTTGCTTTTGTTATTTAAAGGTCAGCACTGAAAACAGAAAAAAGTTTAAAGAATATATAGTAAAAATGAACATTGAAATTTCTCAAAGAAAACATTTACGAACATTCTGATATATAAAGAGTTCAATGATAAATAAATCATAGTAAAAAAGATATAAAATGGAAATTTTTATTTAAGTGGAAAAAATGTTGATCGATAAACACATTACATGTTTCAACGGAATCACATCGGTGTAACTGAAATGATAAAAGGTAAAATTGTTGTGTCAGTGTTATACACATAAGAAATGACTCAAATAGTTCTCTGGTAATCCATTTGATATTTATTCACTAATCATGTAAAATTATAAGCAAATTAATTCAACTGTTTAAACTGAGAAATACATAAATTTTTCAATTATAAACTTTATTTTGAATCAATATTATCCAGTAAAATAACCTCATATTTAACTAATTGTAAGAAAATTAGAAAACTACTTTCCAATCGAAACGAGTTACGTTTAATTAAAAAAGAAACACAATGTCAAAAACAAATAACAACATTGATGCATACTATTATGATAAATTGATATGTTAGTTTTCCTTCCTTTTGCTTTGAAGAGGATACATATATTCCAAAATGGCAATAAAGACAAGTTTTATGCATAAGTGTGTGCCTTTTTGAAAACGGGCACATGACTTAATGTCCTTATCATATTAGCCAAAAATAAAAACTCATTTCACTTTTTTTTTAAATGAAATCTATTTTAATTGACTGCGCTTTGCAACAAAAAAATATTAAAGAAACAGTATCCTTTGCATTATAAAGGAGGGTAAATATGCATTGTACATGTATATGCATCTATATTTATGCAAGTGAAAAATTATAACACTACAATAACAATATAACAACCAAATATTAGTTAATTAACAATGTGTTATTTTCATTTAGTACAATTTATAATACATGAAACATCACCATATATCATTTATATTTTAATTGTATACAATAAGAAACATTATTTCGTTTAAATAAATGTGGATTGATTTCAAATAATTCTAAAGGTTCACAGTATTTGGAAATTAATAGGTATTAACGTCTGCTTAATTTATGAAATTATAATTTCTCTTACCATTGCAACAGGTGAAATACAGGATGGTGATTTGATTTATGTTGTTCCAGTAGTATTCAGAATTGATAGGTGTATGTATACAAGCTTGTGGGGTTTTGATATCATTGTGTATGCTCAACCACTCGGTCCATGTGAAGTTAAGAAAAATCTCAGCTGTTGTCAGCCCACACGAAACTGGATTATTATTCATGTTTCTATAATATAAATATGTCGTGAAGCACAATGAAAATAATATGTACCCATGATAAAAGAGAGATATCATAAAACGTCCATAAAACAGTACAATCACATCAAACGTACAGGTGTATAATGGTAATTTGATGGTAAAACCAACAGCCTTATTTATGTTCATATAACATATACCAAACTTCTGTAGAATACACGATGTTTTTCTATGTTGTTTCTACTTGCATTTGCTGCCCCATCCTGTGTCATACTAGCTTTGACACTCTTGTGTAGACACAACCGCCACACAACTTCCATGAAATCCCTTATACTATTTAAATAATCTTCTTAGTAATACTCACAAACTGTTCAAGTTCATGTAACTGCTAAAAGCATCCCACGGAATATGTGATATTCTATTACTGCTTACGTCACTTGAAAAATAATAGAAAAAGCTAAATTAGCAACAAAATATAAAAATAAAATATATCATATTGACTTAACTAGTTTGAAGCGTCAGATATTTCTACTACGACTGTTAAAAGAAATGAAATGATATTATGACCCATTTTCAGTAAACCATAAACAATTAGCTACTGTAACGTAATAAAAAATGGGACAACTGAGAAAAGTCGCACGCATTCATCAAGATAATCAAGGCAAAGTTAGTAGAGAGACAAAGACTGAACAGTCAAAATGCATACTGGAACAGCAAACATCAGATACAACGGATAAATATATGAACAGCTACCGAAAACGAATAATCAACTTGCGTGCAAATGTTGTTTCGCATGAAGAATCGATATTAATTATGGAGAAGTCTAGGTGTTTCTATATTTTGATAATTATAGCTAAACGTTTCCAATTGAAAAAAAGAAAGTATTATAAATTTTTTGTCCAGATACACTGTATCCTCTCATATTGTTTTAGTCGCCTGTTTTGGTATTTTGTCCTATTCAACGTCGGTTTTTATTTCAATATTTGGTTTCAAGCATCACTGATGATAATACTTTTCGACCTGCGTCTTTGGTACACCAAATTAGAACCCGTAGCTTGTAACGTGTATTAGAACTGATCATGACCTGCGGTTTATCTTGTAGGGATCGCATATTGACATTTTTTCTGTTTTACGTATCATTCAAACAGAACTGCTACTGAAAACCATGGCAACAAGTATACTCTATATGATGTTAAGCCTTAAAAAACGATTTGGCAGACCAACCTAAAAATTGTCAGTTTGCGTATGATATCACTATAAAAAGCTAGATGTAAAATGTTAATATAACTATTAATATTATGGAATTCCTGCATGTGGATTCAAACTTCCACTGCCAGAGCACATAAGACCATCCTTGGATTTTTGATTGGGTTCAAGTAACTCAGTCTGTTTTCTGGGTAGTGGTTTGCAGATTTTTGTTTGTCTTTTTTGTCGAATTCCTTGTGGTCATTGTTTGTCTGTTTTTTTCGATTTACGATTTGTAATCGTATCTCCTCACATATTCTTCTAAATATGATAGACTGTAGGCACTATATATCTCATATCAAACCAAATTACAATTGGACAAGTTCAAGTGACCATTATCATAAAGGGACAGGAACATGAACAGAAGAAACGAAAAGTCCTACCATTAGTAAATCATCATGATATGGAGATTACCTTGAGAAATCCAACTATCAAAGTATAAATCAATATAAACGTTGGACACAAATATCTGTACTGTTCAAAGATACTTTGTCAAATAAACTTCATCAGATGATGATGATAATATCCGTACTATACTATACATTTGCTTATTTTTTGTTTTTCTTTATGCATCTAAACTTATGATGAGCATATTTTGTTTACATTTAGACAGAACTTTACTCGACTATTATTCAGAAAATGTATTCCCCAGTTCTTCCTAGCTTTTTATCGTCTTACTGCGATTCAGTTGTCAAATAGCAATTAACATTTTACTTGACTGACAGACATGCAGAGCCAAATGTATCAACATTGATTTCATATAAATGCCAATTTAAAATCTTCGCCTAATCTGTACTGAAATTGACAGTATGAAAGCGGCATGTGTCTTCTTCAAGATTCAAACAACAGCATGGCGTATTCCTGACCATGGAACCAAATTTTATCGCCTCCAGACGGCTGAAAATATTTATTTAGGAAGATAAGGACACAGTTTTAATAACTATTGCAAATATAAATAAGAAGGACATACATATCGAAAACCAACAATCTATTGTAAATAAAGCCATGTCCTTCGATCCGGTATTTTATTTTTTGGCAAAACGTATAAATGAAATTAAAATTTGAATAATTTAGTGCATCCAAAACGCTTTTTTGATTTTATCTTAATGCGGACGCTCAAAAGGAATAGCATGACAAAAAAAAAAAAGACAAAAAGAAAAGCCGAATCAATCTAAGGTCAACTTTGCCTGAGGCAGTTTGAATATGTGGCTAATAAGTTCTAAATCTATCAACGGATAATTTATTTTTCAAAATAGGTTGTTTATAAATTATATCGGTACCAAAGCACCTACTAATGATGATACCAGCAGTGACTAGAAATCAACAAGCAATGGTATCGACCGAGGACTAGAAAATAAAAAAATGAAAAAAACGTTTTGAATTATGTGCAACCGAAGCGTTTTTCCAGATTTACATGCTTGATCATGTTCAAACGATACGGTTTTTTATTTACGGGATTTGCTTCTGACACAAAAACTGCTCTGACAGAGGTATGGAAGAGCTATTAAAATCGACATTATATGAGTTTTAGGTCACCATCATGAATTGTTTGACCGATACGATGTTTGTTTCTCAACTCTCTAGCGACATGTTTGTCGCCGTTATTATATATCTTTAATTTCTAGGAAAGTCGTGTGATAAATATCTTTAACAATTGTGTCATATATCTGGTTGTGAAATTAGGACTGAATGTGAATTCGCTTGACGGGTGATGCATGCATAACAGGAGATGCTAACCCTGTCGACGCACCCGGTCTCGCTCCTTTTGGAGTTCATGCCATTTCATAAGTTTTTGTTTTTCACCTTTACTTAGAAGTCAAACAGTATATTTGACTCCTGCAATGTTATCAAGAAATAAGTAGGAAGAAAATTGATTTCTTGGGTACATAAAATGTATAACATTTTCCAAAGAAACTAACTTTGCTGAACATGCTATAAATAAATGAGCGTTTATCTGTCAGGGACATTAAGCTATGGTGGGACCTAAAATATCAATTTAAGCTATATATCAGAAATTTGAAAATCATCAAGTCATCAAAGTAAATATATTTATTCGTCCAATCCGACGATCAACGTTTCAATATAGATTTATATCTGGGCATCAGGTTGATATGGAAGAATAGTTTGTTAAAAGGTCACAAAGAAACAAGCATGTTAAAAAACGAAAAAAATTGAAAACTTCACAAAATCCTTATGTAACCAATGTCGCCTGCACTTAACAAGTTATAATGATTTATCTATGTTATGTATTGAAATTGTGAGTAAAACTCTTACAAAGTAAGAATTTTAGTGTTCTTGTACATGTTCTAACATGATATAACGTAAATACTGATAGTAAAGGATGCAATTTGTTTCGTTTTTTTAATTACATTACCCTTTTGGTCATATAGCTTTTTACGTGTTCAGGTCGTATAAATCCTTGTCTTTCAAATGTTGGAATTCCTGACGAAGGTAAATCCAGAAAAGCGGATTTTATGTCGTCCTCTTAACACTTTACTATTGGTTTATTGAGTAATATATTCACAATGTCTCCCCTTCGACGAATTAAGATATTATGTTATAGAAGTATTCATTATTGTTCCTGTTCTGTTTTTGTTGTTCTTTATATACCAATTTGTCCGAAACAAATGTTTTTTTTTATATTTTGACAGTGATTTATGATATTTGGCATAAAGGTATACATATGCAGAAATATACAGAGTTTATTGTGCCCCTACTATACCTTGGCGACTTCTATAGAGGAAGAGAAGACATACGTTTTAGTCAACAAAACGTTTTAACTACATCTAGTATGATTATTTGTTTGTTTTAGTTTTGAGCGTCTATAATGCAACTATTTCTTTTTCTAGAACCTCATTTTAAATGTTTATGAAGGGTGTATCCTATGTGACATACATTTCAGGTTATTCTCCAATTCGTATTGTTGAACAGAGTAAAATATAACGTAAGAATGTTTCCCATTGGATTCTATGATTACCATTTTGTGTGGATTCCTCAAAGTACCCCTTTATAAACCCGCATTCACAAGTAATACCAAAAAGTAAAATAACACAAATACCGAACTCCAAGGAAAATTCAAAACGGAAAGTCCCTTATCAAATGGCAAAATCAAAAGCTCCAACATCAAACGAATGAAAATTAACTGTCATATTCCTGACTTGGAACAGGCATTTCCTTATGTAGAAAATGGTGAATTAAACCTCTCACTTGTATGACAGTCGCATAAAATTCCATAATATTGACAACAGTGTGTGAACAAAACAAACAGACGTAATGGGTAAAAATGTCAAAATAGGGGTACAGCAGTCAACATTGTGTTATAATCTTAATCATTATAAAAACAAACAAACATGTCAACAAAGAAAAACAAAATGGCATATAAACAAAGCGCATGAGCAAAAATGAAAGACAACAATATAAAAATTAACCATAGCACAATAACACAACGACGGGATGTATAAGTACCGAGCCACGCCAAAGGGATATTACCAAAAATAGACTAAACAGTAAAGGTAATAATTAACAAAGACAAATAAAAGAATACTATAACACTTAATTAAGATGATAAACGACGTAAGTACCTAGAATCTATACTTCAAGACCATCATGTATTATTTGTGAAGTTGATACGGAATATTTATCAACAAGGTCTTAGTATCTTCAGATGAACTTTTTTAGAAATGAACGAGACATTCTTTGACATAACCCTGGTTCATCAACTTTCAGCTCAGACACTGGTGACATTTTATAAAGTCTGAGTAGCAGCTGCAAGCTCTTGAATACCGAATGAGTTGGGAAATGTATATCCCATATGCAGGTGAAACTGGTATATTGCTACTAAGGTGGGGGAAATTGATAATTTTAAAATTAAAATCGTCTCGTTTGTCATAGATTCTGGTACTGAGATGACCTCTTATGTCAAGTTCGAGTTATAAGTCTAAAAATGAGGCGGAGGAAGCCGTGTCTGTTGTTTCTTTAATTTCTAGTTCTGGAGGATAAATTTAATGGAACCCAATCAGAAAAGTTTTGATTGTTTATAGAAAGAACATCTCAATATATCTGAATGTGAAATTAAATGATCTGCCTTCTTTGATCTTCCTGTTTTTTGACAAGTGTCTGAAAGTACTCCGACTCGTATGAAAATAAGAAAAGGTCGGCAAAGAGAGGCGCACATTTCGTTCTAATAGGAAT